CACCCCCCCCCCACCGATGTTGTAAAGCTCGTTTTGGACATGACAACTTATACTTCTCGTGCTGATCATTTTTGAGATTCTCTCTCTTTCTGCCTAAGCACATGCCTGAGCTACCATCGAACTACTTTAGGTTTCACTTTGTTGCTGGGATTATAGGCATGCTCCACTGAGGCCAGCTAAGGGTTGAGATAGGGTCTTGTGAATTTTGCTGTTTGGGCTAGTTTCAAAGCACAAGCCTCTTGATCTCAGCAATCAAGCCTCTTGATCCAAGCAGCAATGATACTGGCATGAGTCACTAGTGCCCACTGAGATATGGCACTTTACAAAAAAGCTAGATGTCCTGGCTAGCTGACCACTCACTCATAGCCAGCAACGAGAACACAGACATGAAGATTGTAGCACCAGAAAATCAGAAGAAGAAAAAGAAAGCATGCTGATTTTAAGAGTAATAGCAGCAGTAACTGGCCAGGCAGTCAATATGAAGTCAAAAATGGAAACACAGTTAGTTTACTTTAAAATCCAGAAGATAAACATCATTCTCGTTCTTCTAGGAGAAAAGCAAAACAAATTATGTCTTCCCCCAACAATAAATTATAAAAAGAAATGTCTTGAGTTCTTATGCTGGAAGATCTTTTTAGCTCTGAATTATTTCAAATGAAATCACTTCGTCTCTCAGTTTCCATACCGGTTTCTTTTGATCATATGGTATTGATTGATGATGAACAAAATTGTTCTTCTGCTTAGACAGATTGCTTCTATTCTTCAACCAACAGCATTATAATTTGCATCATTTGTAAAAAGTTACAATTTGTGTCTGAGGCTCAGGAAAAGATGACAGATTTCCACTCTGACCACTGCTGCTTTTCATGGCAACCTCTCCCCCTCAAAAAAAAGGTCATAAACATGACATTCTGAGTAGAAGGTACAAGCAGCAAGGGGACAGACTAGTGTTATGGGAGGACAGAAGGGACAGAAGTTTGCCTCTGGATCAAGAAACTCTGAGGACTTAGACTTGAATCCAGCGGGGCCATTTCTAAGCTATGTGATCAGGGACAAGGAACCTACCTCTTCTTAGTCTGGTTCCTCATCCAGACTCCATCCTTCAGAGGCTGTTGTATGAATTAATTGAGATGGTGTATGCAACCCATCTGTCCTCAGAAAGTAGAGAATAATTTAAAGTCTACTTTCTAGCTGGTACCCATGGCTCATGCCTGTAATCCTAGCTACTCTGGAGGCTGAGACCTGAGGATTGAGGTTACAACCCAGCCTAGATAGGAAACTCCATGAGATTCTCATCTCTAATTAACAACCAAAAAAGCCAGAAGTGGAACTGTGGCTCAAGTGATAGAGCTTTGAGTGAAAAAGCGAAGGAACAGTGCCTAAGGCCCTGAGTTCAAGCTCCAGTGGAGATACACATACAATATAAATTAAATCCATTTCCTGAGCTGAAGGGATGGTTCAGTGATAGGTGCCTCAAGTCTGGCATACTTGAGTACTTGGTTCAGTCCCTAGCACTAGATTTAAAAGAATCCTTTGCTTTAAGCAGCAGTCATTGAAATGTTGTAGGCAAAGTAATAAGAATATAATCTTCGTTTTAGAAAAAGTACTAGAAATCTAGTATATTTGTTAAATACACTAATGAATGATCTTTTTTTCTTTTTCTTTTTTGTGCCAGTCCTGGAGCTTGAACTAAAGGCCTGGGCACTATCTTTTAGCTTTTGTGCTCAAGGCTGGCACTCTATAATTGAACCATGCTCCAGTTCTGACCTTTTGGAAGTTAATTGGAGATAAGAGTCTCATAGACTTTCCTGCCTAGGATGGCTTTGAACCTCTGTCCTCAGATTGAAGCTTCCTGAGTATCTAGGCATGAGCTACTAGCACCTGGCTCATGAATGATATTCTTATGAACAAGATAAAGAATGAAGGGTTCGGTGATCCAACAGTTAAGCCAAACTTGGTTGATAAACCTGCCTTAGAGTTAATAAAATATATCAGTGCTAAGGATATACTTCAGTGGTAGAACTCTTGTCTGCTATGAGAGGCCTTGGTGTCATCAATCCCAGGTGTCATTTTGATGAAAGTGGATATGTTAAATAAAACAAAAACTGACCCAACAACACCCATTTTAAGCATACAATTCAGTAATGTATTCACAATGTTGTGGAACCAATTTTCAGAAGCCTTTTGTCTAATCTGAGCCTACACTTCTCTTATGCTCTCAGCTCCTGGCAACCACCATTCTATTTTCTGTAACTATGAATTTTATTCCTCTAGGTTATCATCTAAGTGGAATCCTATTTTTTAAATAATGTTTTATAAAGGTGATGTACAAAGAGGGACAGTTATATAAGGCAGGTAAAGAGTACATTTCTTTTTGGACAATGTCATCCCTTTCCTAGCTGTCTCCCAGTTTTTCCTCCTATCTCCACCCACAAGTTGTATAGTTCATTTTCAACATAGTGTCTAGTGAGTACCACTGCTGCATTTGTTCACCCTTTGTCCCTCCATTTTTGCGCCTCCCCTTACCCTCTCAAAGATGGATAAATAAACAAGACAAAAAGAAAAGAAAACAAAAATAGCAACAAAGGGGAAAAAAACCTCTTGTTCCTATTTCCTGGAGTTCATTTCAGTCAGAAATTCTATTTTGTATGATTTTTCTTGTATTGCATTGCACTGCAATTGAAATCAAGGGATTTGAAATCAAGGCCGCACACATGTTGGACTCTACCACTGAGCTACACTCCCAGCCCTGTAATGGTATAAGAGTAGTCACACCATTTTGCAATCTCATTAACAGGATACAAGACCTCCAGTTTCTCTACATCCTTGCCAACATATATTCTGGGTTTAAAAAAATACATTGTCATCATAATGATGTGAAGAGTTAGCGGATTGTGGTATTTTGTCATTACTTCTGTGGATAACTTGGAGGAAGACCATGAAGAGAATCCTGTTAAATCTTCAAATTAAGCCAAAATGATAGGGTTTAGACCCCAAAAGACATTTGGTATCTACAAAGATGAGCTGAAACATTAAGACACAAGTAAGACAGGTGTGAAGGTCAACCCTTCACATCTGAAGCTACACCTGAGCGATGTGTAAGGTGGAGCTGCAGCACAATAACCTAAGGAGCTTTAAAAACTAGAGAAAAGCCAGTCTGTAATCCTAGCTACTCAGGAGGCTGAGATCTGAGGATTGCAGTTCAAAGCTAGCCTGGACAGGAAAATATGTGAGACTCTTATCTCCAATCAACCACCAAACAAAATAGAAAGGAGTTATGGTTCAAGTGATAGAGCACTAGTCTTGAGAAAAAATGCTCAGGATAGCACCTGAGCTCTGAGTTCAAGCCCCAGGACTGGCACCAAACAAGTTTAAAGAAGAAAGCTAGAGAGAAGAAAAATTTCTAGTCCTACCCCAGACCTACAAAGACAGAATCTCATGCGGGTACTTTACTCCATTAGACTGAGTCTAATATTTTATTAGGTTTGAGAATTGAATTTGTTTCTCAAGGTATGTTCGCAGCACCACCAGTCTCAATATCACCTGAGAACCTGTTAGAAATGCAGGTCTTTGGGCCATACCTTCCATCTGTGAATGACAAACTCCAGATGTGGAATTTGGTGATCTGTGTTTTAATAAGCCTTTCATGTGATTATGTTTGAGAATCAATGCATGCAAGAAGCACTAAGCCCTTTTTCAACATAGAGCATCTGTGATTTGATGGATAGAAATCCTTTTACAATAGCAATAAAAATCCATCAAGTAGAAGGAATATATTAACTGAACCTGAGACATAAGAGAGTTATTCAAAGAAAATTATAAATACCTAAAGGGAGAAATAAAAGAAGAAAAATGAGGAACTAGATTATGCTCATGGTAGCAAGGTTCATGTATGCAGGCTTAATTCGAAACCAATGTTATTCTCCTTTTGTAGAATAAACAAACAGAAACACCAACTTTTTTAAAGAAATACATTAGAATCAGATTCATGTTATTAACTTTTATAGCAAAGTGGCAATTCTCCAGATCATAAACAGTCAGATTTAAAAATGGAAAATGTATCTGTAGTCAAGGCAAATCAATTCCACAAATAGATTCAAGCCCTTCTGAGGGCAAAATATGTGAAAAACTGGTAGGAAAAGAAAGGACTTATTTAATAAGGTTAGGTGAACCATTTCTTTAATATATTTTATCTTTTGCCTATAAAATGTGAACTAAGAATGTAATGTATGCAAGTCACTGTGGGAAGCCTTGAGCATAAAGGTAAGCATGGTAGAGATTTTGCTCTCAATATCCTAAAGCAAACTATCATCTTGGAACATGCTGGGCTCCATATGTTCATTCAAGAATGAGGCATGGAAGCTGGGTGCTGGTGGCTCATGCCTGTAATCCATCCTGTAATCACAGTTCAAAGACAGCCCAGGCAGGAAAGTCTGTGAGATCTTATTCTTATCTCCAATTAACCACCAGAAAACCAGAATGGAACTGTGGCTCAAAGTGGTAGTGTGAGAGTCTTGAGTAAAAAGCTCAAGACAGTGCCCAGGCCTAACACACACACACACACACACACACACACACACACACACACACACACACGCACAGAATGAGGGATCCATAGATGAGTTTTTGGAAGAATGGATGGCACATGAATGAATGGGTGCATGGTGGATGAATGGATGCAAATGGGTGGATGGATGGATAAATGGAAGGATAAAGAAGGGAAACCTAGAGTAATCTCACCTCTCTTGGCTGAGGTGGAGCATGAGGGCTTCCTGGTGGAAAGGTTTGACCCTAAGGATTACAGACATTCAGATAGAGAATGTGGGGAAGGGCTTTCTAAACTCATGGCTTGGTTAATACAGAAGCATGGAGGTGTATGAGAGAGCTCAGAACATCTGGAGATGAAGTGGGAGTAATGAAAGCAAAGTCAGAAGGAGGGTGTGTAAGGCTTGGCTGACAGTGGAAGTGAGTTAGCTGAAACTTGCATGAGTGAATTCCTTTTACTAGGCACCTGCAGTAACTTTCTAAAAGAAGCAGAGTGATGTTTTCTTAGTTTAGGCAAGGTAATACAGTTCTGCCTACTGAAGAAATGAAGTATTCTGTCAGAGACAACATTGATGGACTGAGATATAGTACTATTTTCATGACAGAGTGTTATTAAAGCACAAAAGGGGAAATAACAGGAAAAACTATACCAGAGATCAATAAAACTCACCAAAGCTCAATGGTAAATAGGAGCTAGCAACAGAACAAGTCATGGAAAGGGGTTGAACTTTGGAGTTCATCAAGTCACATGCTACTCATTATGACTTGTGTAATGGACTCTCTCCAGATTCTTTTCTCCCCCCCCCCTCTCCTCTGTCCATCCCCTCCCCACTCTCTCTGGTTTCAGTCCTTGAACTCAGTACCTAGTGCTGTTCCTAAGCCTTCTTGCTCAAAGCTAGTGCTCTACCACTTAAGTTACAGCTCTAATTCTGTTTTTGGGGTGGTTAATTGGAGATAAGAGTCTCATGGACTTCTCCTGCCTGGGTTGGCTTTGAACATTGATTCTGAGAGCTCAGCTTCTGGGGTAGCTAGCAGGTGTGAGCTACTAGCTTTCCCTCCTTTTAATAGGAATATTACCTCTTTATAGCTCTTCATGGAGCTACTGTGAGGATTTAGCAGGAAACATAGTGCATTCTTCTTTCTTTCTTTTATCAGTTATAAAGACTTCTAAAATAAGAGCAATGTTTCTGAATGTTTGTGCTAAATACTTCATATTAAATTATATTATTTCATTTGTTCAACCATCCCATGAGTTGGTGCATCATTATTTCTACTCTATAGATAAGAAAGTTGAAGCCCTAAGAGGTAAATGAGTTGTTCCCAGATTGAAAACCAGCTTTGAATGAAAAAGCTAGGGGACAGCACCCAGGCCATGAGTTCAAGACCCCTTTACCCCAAAACTTGGGAAAACAGGCCAGAAGCATGGCTCAAATGGTAAAATACTTGCCTAACAGGTTCAAACTCGATACTACACACACACATATTTATATATATATATATATATATATATATATATATATATTATTAGGGCCAGGTGCCAGTGGCTCATGCCTGTAATCCTAGCAACTTAGGAGGCTGATATCGGAGGATCATCGTTCAAAACCAGCCTGGGCAGGAAAGTCTGTGAGACTCTTATCTCCAATAAACCAACAGAAAACCTGAAGTGGCTTTGTGGCTCAAGTAGTAAAGCATTAGCCTTGAGTGAAGAATTGAGGGACAGCACCTAGGCCCAGAGTTCAAGCCCCATGGCCGACAAAAAAAAATGTATGTATGTATGTATGTATTAGGGACCCTTATTCTTTTGTGTGTGTGTGTGCACGCCCACGTGCATGCTGGTTCTAGGGCTTGAACTCATGGCCTAGGCACTGTACTTGAGCTTTTTTGCTCAAAGCTAATGTTCTACCTTGAGGCACAGCTCTACTTTTGGTTTCTTTGGTAGTTTATTGGAGGTAAGAGTTTCATGGACTTTCCTGCCCGGCTGGCTTTGAACCAGAATCCCATCTTAGCCTCCTGGGTAGCCAGGGTTATGTGTTTGAGCCACTGGTATCCAGTGAGAACCTTATTATTACAAAAAGCTGCAAGGAACTATGGATTAAAAAATGGTGTTTTACAATTCATTTGTTTGGACTATCAGAGATGACAGAGTCAAAGGAGACGATCATCCAGCAAAAAAGCTGATGAGAACTTCAGAAAGTGTTTGTAGATCAAATCAGCACAAGATAGTGACTAAGCCCAAGTCTGCACAACTTCAGAACAAATTATTAAAAAAGAAAAACATATCAATCACAACATTTTATTTATGTAGTCTGTGCAATGACAAACCACTGTCCTCAAACAACTGCTTTGGGGTTATTCTGGCCTTGGGTAGATGTGGCTGGTTGTCTGATGGCTGCTCGATCCTCACTCTGACCTTTATTACAGACTACATCAATCTCTTCAGCACCAAGTGCCATGGTTGCGATTTCCCGGTAGAGGCTGGTGACAAGTTTATTGAAGCCCTGGGGCATACCTGGCATGACACCTGCTTCATTTGTGCGGTATGTTGTTAGCTTGGGGTTCTAGCTGATTGAAAGTGGGTGGCAGGAAGTAAGAAGGGGCGATGGCCAACCATGCAATTCCCCTATAACTCAGGCATTCTGATATTTTTTTCAAATCTTATATCATATGCTTTAGCATGACACAGTTGAACAAAGTCTTGTTACTAATGATTATCTAAAAACCCAGTGGTTTTGTTACTCCATTTTCTGATGGACAGAAAAAGTACCAGACGAACTGGAAATCAGCAGCTTGCTCGCTGGCTATGTCTCTGTAGGTGGGGGTGAAGGTGAGATAATGCTTAGATATAAGAGGGAGAGATTGTTTCTTAAGGCTGTATGTTGCTTGCTTCCGTTATAGTGAAGTGATTTGATGGTTTCCACCAAAACTGTACCATGAACACCAGATTGCAGCTTATTGTTTAGTCTTATGAAAAACTGAGATAAAGTTTCTCTCCTTTTTGGAAATGGGGGATAAGAGACTCACTGACTTTTCTACAAAGGCTGGCTTCAAACCTCGATCCTCAGATCTCTGCCTCTTGAGTAGCTTAGGATGACAGGTGTAAGCCACCAGTGCCTAACTAAAGATTTCTCTTGATGGAACCTTAAGAAGCAATAGTGACTATCCCTTTCTTTTCCTGTCCACCTGTTCTTGATATATAGATGCTAGGAGATAAACCTTACATTAACTATTAACTGGGCTCAGTTTATTTTACTAGGAGACTGGTGTTTCCCCTCTCAGGAATCTGGGTTGGGGTAAGGACATGATCTTGGACATACTGACATTTATACATTGAATTATAAGTAGGAAATAATCATCTCTGCTAAAGCCTTGTAAAGTCTGTCTTTAAATTAATGTTTGTGTATATGTGTGTATACCAGTACTGAGGCTTGAATTCAGGCCCTTGGCACTGCATCTTAGGTTTTTTTTTTTTTTTTTTGCTCAAGGCTAGTGTTGGTGATCTATCACTTGAGCCACAGCTCTACTATCTGGCATTTTTGTGATTAATTGGCTTTGAACTGGGATCCTCAGAGCCTCCTGAGTACCTAGGGTTACAGGCATGAATCATTGACACTGAGTGATCTCACTTTATTTTGGAGAAATTAATGTAATACTTTGTTTTGTTATTGTCAGTCATGGGGCTTAAAGCTAGGGCCTGGGTGCTCTCCCTGAGCTCTTTTTGCTAAAGGCTAGTGCTCTATCACTTTGAGCCACAGCTCCACTTCTAGTTTTCTGGTGGTTAACTGGAGATAAGAGTCTAACAGACTTTCGCGGGGCGCTGGTGGCTCACGCCTGTAATCCTAGCTACTCAGGAGGCTGAGATCTGAGGATCGAGGTTCAAAGCCAGCCCGGGCAGGAGAGACCGTGAGACTCCTATCTCCAATAAACCACCAGAAAACCAGAAGTGGCGCTGTAGCTCAAGTGGAAGAGCGCTCGCCTTGAGCTGAAGAGCTGAGGGACAGTGCCCAGGCCCAGAGTTCAAGCCCCATGGCTGACAATAAAAAAAGAGTCTAACAGACTTTCCTGCTCAGGCTGGCTTTGAACCACTGGGATCCTCAGATCTCATACTGAGTAGCTAGGATTAAAGGTGTGAGACACCAGTGTCCAGATTATCTATCTATCTATCTGTCTGTCTGTCTCTCTCTCTCTACATATATATATTTATTTATTAATCAGGGTTGCTCAAGGTAAATTTTGGGGAATGAATAAGATATATGTGCAGATTAAATTTGAATAATGTTTTAGACACATATAATAGAAAAAAAATCCTATAGAGTCCTCTGCCATATGCCTTTGGCTCTCCACTTTGACAACTCTATTTGTGGGATGTGTTGTATTCACTCTGTATTAGTTTGTTAGGGCTGCTGTTACAAATTGATGGTTTAAACAACAGAAATGTATTCTCTCACAGTTCAAGGAAAGTCTAAAATCAAGTTTCCAATAGGCAGTCATGCCTTTTCTCCTACCTTTTGATGATTTCCAGCAATCCTTGGATTTCTTGGTTCACAGCTGTGTCATTCTCATTTCTGTCTCCATCACTACATGGCTGTCTTCCCTCTGTGTATCTGTGTCTCCACCTGGCCATCTCTATGTGTTTGTCTTTTTGATCATATTGGATTAAAGACCAACCTTCTCCAATCTGATTTCATTTTAAGTTGTCTTTTTTTAATGTGTGTACTTTAAATGGAACTTGAATTCAGTGCCTTGTGCACTCTCACAGCTTTTTCTGCTCAAAGCTGGCATACTACCACTTGAACCACACTTCTACTTCTGTTTTTTGTCCAGTTAATTAAAGATAAAAGTCTCTTGTGTTTGTCTGTCCTGGCTCGCTTCTAACCATGATCTTTAAGTCTCATCCCCCTAAGGAAGTAGGATCATAGACATAACACTGGCACTCAGATAAAACAACATTTTATTTTATTTTTATTTTTTTGCTGGTCTTGGGAATTGAACTCAGCCCGGGTGCTGTTGTCTCTGCACTAGCTCTCTATCACTTGAGCCACAGCTCCAAGTCTGGCTTTTTGTGGTTAACTGGACCTAAGAGTCCCACAAACATTCCTTCCCCAAGGCTGACTTTGAACCACGATCCTCAGATCTCAGCCTCCTAAGCAGCTAGGATTATAGGCCATGAGCCACTGGCATCCAGCTTAAACTACATCTTAATTGCATCTGCAAAGAGTCTGTTTCCAGATAGGGCTGCTGCTATTACCATATGCACTGGGTAGTCTGGAGGTCCTGGGGTTAGGGATTCAACATGTGAACTTGTTTTATTTAAGAGGGAGTATTACTAACTGCCCAGGCTAGCTGTGAACTGCTGAGTTCAAGAGATCTTCTTGTCTTAGCCTCCAAAGTAGCGGGGATTACAGGTATGCACTACTGTATAGTTTCAATTTATAAATTTTGAGGGACAAATTCAATCCCATAAGACTTATTTTCCAGCTCTTTGAACACATTTTCTGCTTTCTTAGGTCCTGTAAATCTATTAGAGCTACCCCTCCAAAAACAGGCCAATGGTGTGAATATTCTGGCTTTAAGATGGTCGCTTGCAGAATTGGGGCTCAGCCAGGCATAGCATAGGGTTCTCTGACTTTTACTGTCAAGCCATGGCTTGTTTTTTTTCCTGAGACACTGCTTGCTAGTCTGGTTACCCAGCTTCTAGAAAGATCCAAGAGACCTGGAGAAGGTCCAGGTAGACAGAGCCACACATGGCCTCTTCTCTGAGAGCAGGCTGATGAGAGGGCTATGTTGCCCGGGGAGGAAGTTGTGGCAAAGGTAATGGAGAGTCCTCTCCTTCGAGCCATTAGATTCTGCTCAATCACAACAGTGCAAGTCCTAGAGAGAGACTAGAAGAGGTAAGATGGGTTCAGGCTCATAATACAAATGAGTTTCAGGAACTTATGTCCAGGGTGAGAAACTCACAGCACTGCTGAGCAGATTTGCTTAAAGAAACTAGGCAGAGCCAGGCACTGTGGCTTATGCCTGTAATCCTACCTACTCAGGAGGCTGAGATCTGAGGATCAAGATTCAAAGCCAGTCCCAGCAGGAAAGCCTGTGAGACTCTTATCTCCAATTAACTACTAGAAAACCAGAAGTGGCATTGTGGCTTTAAGTGGTAGAGTGTTAGTCTTGAGCCAAAGAGCTTGGGGACAGCGCCTAGGCCCTAGTTCAAGACCTATGACCAACAAAAACAAATATGAACAAGAAGAAAAAAAAAACAAACTAGGAAGGTCCTGATCTTTGGAAAATACCATGGAGATTATTAGATCTTCTTCTAAATCAGCCTTGTGAGGCACTCTCTTCCCAGTGAAACATTGTAAACTGGAACATAGTTTTAATGTTTTTTTGTGCTCAATATTGCTATATCCCCTACAGGATATCAAGATAACTCATGTGTCATCAAACAGTGCAAAAGTAGACAGGCCTCATTTATTTTTTGGGGGATTACTGGCATTTATTTTTCTTGAGTACTCCCTTCCTTGCTTCCTTCCTTCCCTCCTTTCTTCATTAAAGCCCTATTTTAAAGATAACAAAAAGTTTTATTTTGGTGGTTCTAGGCGGTTTGAACACAGGGTTTCACCCTTGCTAAGCTGGTGCTCTACATTTGAGCCAAGCCTCTAACCATGTTTTTCATTAGTTATTATTTATTTATGTGTCAGTCCTGAGCACCTTTTACTCAAGGCTAGCACTCTATCACTTGAGCCATAGCACCACTTCTGGCCTTTTCTGTGATTTTAATTGGAGATAAAAGTCTCACTTTCCTGCCTGGGCTTGCTTTGAACTGCAATCCTCAGATCTCACCTTCCTGAGTAACTAGGGTTACAGGTGTGAGCCACTGGTGCCTGGATAATTGATTATTTTTGATATAGGGTTTCATTTCCCACCTAGGTGTGTGTCTGAGCCATGATCTGCCCACTTTATTCTTCCAGTTGCTGAGATGATAGGCATATGTTACCTTGTAGAGCTTCTTCTCAGTGGAGATGGGATTTTGAGGACTTTTTTGCTTAGGCTGGCTTGGAATCATGATCTTCCCAATCCCAGCCATCCAAGTAGGTAGGATTACAGCCATAAGCCTCCAGCACCAAGCCTATTCAGGGTTTTAGTCTCATATACTTTGCTTATTAATAGGGTTCTAGTGGCATCTTGTAATTTTTTTCTTTTTTTTGTTGGTCCTGGGGCTTGTGCTCAAGGCCTGGGCATTGTCCCTGAGCTTCTTTTCTCAAAGGTAGCACTCTACCACTTGAGTCACAGTGCCACTTCCAGCTTTTTGTTTATCTGGTACTGAGGAATTGAACCCAGGGTTTCATGCATGCAAGGCAAGCACTCTACCACGGAGCCACTTTCCCAGTCCCCCCTTTAATCATTATTGAGGATACTCTTTTCCAATATTTTGTTAGTTTACTAATATTATTTGCTTAGATGTTAATCCTTTTTGTGGGAACTGACATATGAACTTGTATTAGCTCCTTATCCTTGTAGGATAGCATGACTTGGACATCTTCATCACATACATTCTCTGTTCTGTTAGATTTGAGTTTTAGTCCATGTTCTCAAGAAGTCTTTATTTTTTGTTTGTTTGTGCTGGTCTTGAGGCTTAAACTCATGACTGGACAGTGTCCCTGAGTTCCTTTTACTCATGGCTAGCTCTCTACCACTTGAGCCACAACTCCTCTTGGGCCTTTTTTTTTTTTTTTGTAGCTTTCATTAAAGGTAAGAGTTGCACAGACTTGCCTGCCCAGGCTGGCTTTGAATTGAAATCCTCAGACCTCAGCCTTCTGAGTATCACTTGGTTTGGAAGTCTTTATTTTCATGTAGCTCAACTGATCTATTCTGTTTCACTCATTAAGGCTAGTTTTGCCCCTGCACAAAGACATATAATAGCACTTTTTGCTATGGGGTGACTGAATGCTTTGTTGTTGTCATTTTGAGATATAAGATCTTGCTCAAATGTAATCCTTCATGACCATCCCAGGGGACCACTCGGATGCAAGCAGGCCCAGGAGAAAGATCATTATAAGGTTTATTAGAGGGGCCATATTTCCCAGGAGAGGGAGCACATGGTATCCGTCCCTATCCTAGTGGCAGGAACGTCTGGGGGCAGGTAATGAGTAGGTGCATGTGCAGTAGGTCTGAACAGGGAAAGGGAGTGATGGGCTGTATGGCAGGAACTCTAGGGCAGGGAGGAGTTCTGGTATGGGTGGAGCTGAGGACCAACGGTAATAAATACTAACACCAATAATCTAGGCTAATGTCAACTCAAGATTTAGGAAGGTCTTGAGTCTTAGTCTTCCAAGTGCTGGAATTACAGGTATGCACCATTATGCCCAACTTGACTGAAATCTCTTTTGCTCATGTCTCGTTGCCATGTGGGCTATAAGACTCCATCTCATAGAACTCTTTTCTCTCTCCCAGGTCTGCCATGTGAATCTGGAGGGACAGCCATTCTACTCTAAGAAGGATAAACCCCTGTGCAAGAAGCATGCGCATGCCATCAATGTGTAAAGGCCCAGGGCATCTGGTGTGGGCAAGGCCCCATCTACTCTTGCTACTGGCAACAAAAGATTCAAAGAGGCTGATGTTTCTTTGGGTGGGAGGGAGAGGAGAGGAAGCGATTGAGCTCTTTTGAAGTATAATTTTAATCTTTTCTTGTGTACACAGATCATGTATTTGCATAGTTCAGACTAAAAGCCAAATGAAGATTTTAAACCAAGCTAGTAATTAATCCAAGACTGGAATTGCACTTCAAACAGTTAGGACAGGATTACAGGAACTCAAATGCAAAAAAATGAAAAGTAACTTTCTCCAAGTGATATACCTTACCTGCCACCCCCAGAGTAGAGACAGAGCTCAGAGTACTTACAGAGAACCCCAAATATTTAATAGAGCTCTGTAGAGCTCCTCCAGCAAACAAAATTAAGTGCCAAACAGTTCTTGCTACGGGATATTTTTAGAGCTGTAGCTGAGAGCTTGCTAGCTAAGACCAATTGGGCTTTCCTCACCAAAAAAGGAAGTGTTATTCTATTACTAGTGTCATGGAGCTACCTCTGCACATCAGACCTTGAACAAACTTAAAATGCCTAAAGGGAGCCCAGATGTCTGGAGAGATGTCTTCTGGGAGCCACTGGCAGAACTGACAAGGCTCTGAGAAGGGCTCTGCCTTGTACTGCTGAGACTGACAGGCTCTTCAAAGCATCTCTCTTACAGTTTTGAAACATCCAAGAAGGCTTATTGGTTCCTTTTTGAATTGGGAAGGGAAAACAGATTCGGATTCTTCCAGTTTTGCTTTGCAAGTGCATGAGGGGAAATATAAAAAAAAATCTGGGTTGTATTTGGTCTGTGTTTCTAAGAGGTTCCTGAGCATTTGTCCTATGCATGTACTTTACTCTCTACTTACAACTCACCGCTCACGCATGACCTCTTTCTCAGCACACTCCTCATCCCCCATGGAAAGAAGAGAAGAGACAGTGTCTATCATGGGTTGGAGGAATAGCTGGCATGTCCAAACTGTGGGTGGGGAGGACCCTTCCTTTCTGCCAACCTCTGTGAGAACAGGCTGCCGACCTTCAGGGCCTCATTATTCTCTTTTTATTGTTCTTTTTGTGCTGGTATTGGGACCTGGGTGATGTCCCTGGCAAGGCTAGCATTCTACATTTGAGCCACCTTATTTCCCCCTTTTTGGTGGTTAAATGAAGGTAAGAGTCTCATGGACTCATTCCAGGGTTGGCTTCAAACCAAGATTCTCAGATCTCAGCCTCTTAAGTAAATAGGATTACAGGCATGAGGCACTGGCGCCCAGCTTCACTATCTTCTTTATGTGTTTAAATACAGCACACTGATTATGCACAACCATTGTCACTACTGGAAGGAAAAAGTGGATATAGTTGCCACTTGGGCCAATATCTTGAATGGAGCTAACATTATTTAAATATTTATTGAAGCAGAATGGGCCTTACAAACTGCTTTACAATGTAAGTGATAGTTTAAGCATGGGAATGTTTCTTTAGTAGTAAAGAAAGAAGTTTCTTTTTTCATTTTTTTGGCGCTGCCCCTGAGCTTTTTTTGCTCAAGGCTGGTACTCTATCAGTTGAGCCACTGCTCCATTTCTAGCTTTTTGGTGATTATTTGGGGGTAAGAGTGTCTCACAGACTTTCCTGTCCAGGATAGCTTTGAACTGTGATCCTCAGATCTCAGCTTCCTGAGGAACTAGGATTACAGGGAGCCACTGGTGCTAGCAGAAGTTTCATTTCTGAGGATGGAGGTGGCAGGCACATTGAAAATGGCATTAAGGCAGGCAGTCGGTGAGGATGCTTCACACTGGAGCACAACAGTTAGGCACTCTTCCAATTCACTGCTACTTTCTCCTTGCTCTGGTTTGGGACTTTTCTCTTTACGCTTTAGAAATGTTTTACAGAAATGTGTTAGCACACTATTTTTTCTTCTGAGAACGGAGGCATTTCAGGGCTGTCCAACCTAACACAGTGTATAAGGAAGAAAAAACAGTTGGCCAAATCCTGGGGGGTGGTGTGAAGCCACCAACTTCCCCCAGGCAGCATTAGGGAGGGGCATAAGGTGCCCTGTCAGAAGCCTAGCTTTACCTTTGATGCAGGGAGAAAGTGGATATATAGCCCCAGCAGAGGAATTCTGCTGGGACAGCCTGGAAATTTGTCAGAAGGTGCAAACAAATACCTTAGAGCATTCTGTTATTTTTGGAAAGTTCAAATATACAGGGACAAGGAGCTTGCTGATTATACAGAAAGCTCTAATCAGGTTTTGGTTTTTTGTTCCTTTTCTAAAAGTCTGTCAAATCATCAGAAACTGGTCTTGCAGAAAGAAAATAAAAGTTCCCTAGAGTTATTTCTAACATCTCTTTGTAAGGTTTTACAAATGCACACATGCCACAAATACAGAGGAGGAGAAGAGATATTAAAAGACAGCTTTATACCACTCTCTACCGAATTTTTGTGTATGTGTGCCAGTACTGGGGCTTGAACTCAGGGCCTGGGTACTGTTTCTTACCTTTTTTGCTCAAGGCTGGTATCCTACCACTTAAACTCCTCTTTCAGCTTTTTGGTGGTTAATTGGAGATAAGAGGCTTTCAGAGTTGTCTGCCTGGGCTGGCTTTGAGCCAAGATCCTCAAATCTTAGCCTCCCGAATAGTTAGATTACTCTGTGAGACAGTTACCTGTCTTAGTTTTCTCCTTCCTTCCTTCCTTCCCTCCCTCCCTCTCCTTCCTTCCTTCTTTGCTTCCTCACATCTCTGAGTTCATATCGTACCTCATTTTCTAAGAGACTCTTACCAAAAACCCAAACAATAAACATTTTAGGGGCTGGTGCTATAGACCAGTGGTAGTATGTTTTCCTAGCATGCACAAGGTCCTGGGTTCCATCTCCGGCGCTGCAAAAAAACAAAATAAAAGCAAAGACCACTTTAAAAGGAAAAGGAAGTTGTTTGAGTGGGGTTTATATTGTGTCCGTGAGTCTTGTGTAGTATCAAGATTAAGGCTGTTTGTAGTTCAAGTGAACATCACGGATGTCCTAGGACACCAAATACAATTTCTAATAATTTATATTGAGGTGTTCTCTTTGGATCTACAGTTCTGTCTGCTCATTGTTAACCTTAATTTAACATTGATAAACATTCACTTTTTGTAATGGAGTGACATATCTGCAGTGTCTGTTTTAGGAATCTAGCTTTTTTAATGTTTTTAACCCTGGTACTCTTGCTTTATGATTTTTTGGGGGTTAAGTTTTCAGAAGTGAAATGTAGTGTATTAGAGGTGTGCACAAAACTATTTTGCATGTTCACTTTTTTTTTGGCCTGTGTGAATTCACTTATTAGCAAAGTAAAACTCGGAAGAGGATGTTTAATACAGATCTTTCTGTGTACTTTTTTCATGTAACATCAGAAGAAACCTACTTGTATATGGCCACAAATAAAAGTATGAGACAAAACTAAATGCCTTGTGAAAAAGAAACAAAATTCACTTGCTCAATAACAATTTAATCACTTCATTTAAACAGACAGAGTTAGGTGGGCACCAGTGGTATACATCTGCAATCTTGGCCACTCAAGAAGCTGAGATCTGGAGGATCAATACTTACTGTTGCCAGGGGAAAAAGTGATATTTTGTTTGTAGGCATTCCTTAAAAATAAAGGAATGGGTGGATACTAGTGGTTCATGCCTATAATCTTAGCTCCTGAGTAAACTGAGATCTAAGGATCACAGCTCACCCCAGGCAGGAAACTCTGTGAGCCAGTTAATTTCCAATTAACCACCCAAAAGCCATATGTGGAGCTATGGCTCAAGTTGTAGAACACCAACCTTGAATAAAAAAGTTAAGGGACAGCACCCAAGTTCTGAGTTCAAGCCTCAGTACTGGCACAATAAGTAATAAATATCACAAATAGCTCAGAAGCATGAACTGAACAATTGGAGTTGGTGTCATTAACTTCTACCAACATTTCTGACTGCTTTATTGAGGATTTATGGACAGAATAAGAGTTGTTCACTTGTTCATTCATTCACTCTTTCAACAAATATTTATTGGGAATCTACCAGGTTCTAGGAATTGTTCTGGACACAAAGGACATGATAGTATACTCCAAAGACAGTAACTCTGCTTCCATGGAACTCCTATGTTAGTGAATTGGAATCAGAGAAACAAGTAACTAACAGAGGGCATGTTAATTCTTTTCTTTTCTTTTTTTCTTAGTTAAACAATTATTGTTAAATAGTTGTACAGAGTGGTTACAATCCTACAAGTCAGGTTATGCATACAATGCATCTTGATCAATGTCATCCCTTCCATCATTCTCCAACATTTCCTTCCCCCTCACATCCCTACTGTCAAGTTATGTAGTTCAATTTTTATATACTGTATGATGAATATAATGATTCATTTGCTCACTCTTTTTGTTGTATATGTGGAAACATATTTGAACTATTTAAAGCTATAGATAACACTGACATGAAGCTGGACATTCAGAGTTAAGGGTATAGCATTAGGAAGGAGTTCTGGATTAGATATACACTTTTCCCAGTAGGGAGTTCCAATGTGGAAACACTACTTAAAATATTGGTTACACTTCACCAATGTCCAATAATCTTTCTCTATATTCCACTCACATTTAAACCTTCAGAGAATTTGGACAGCACAAATGCTTTCTGATTTTTGTCCCAATAAACCCATCGTAAATTGGAAATACTGTGTATGAAAAAATGTATTGAATCTACCTAACCTACCAAACATCACAGCTTAGCAACACAGCACACTGTTGAGTATAGTTATTTCCCTAGTGATTGGGGTTACTAAGAGTTGGAACACACTGTTACTGCCTTGTATGGAGAGACAAGATGATTGTGCACATGGCTAGCTCACAAAACAATCCAAATTCAAAAACTGAGCTAGAATTTCTACTGAATTGACTTCATGTGTGCGCCATTATAATGCTTTCGTGTGTGTATGTGTGTGTGTGTGTGTGTGTGTGTGTGTGTGTGATG